ATACCGATAATATCACCAATTTGCCATTTGTCGCCATACCTGAAATTAAAAAAAAATTATTTTTAAATATATTGTAATGATAAGCTTCAGCTTTTTATTTACTTACTTCGATGTAGAAATGTGCCATATTTGTTGCTTGCTTCCATCATAACCATAGCTCCATTTTGTATCGCCTACTCCGCTGTTCTCATTAAAAGTGCATTTGTTAGAGCACCAACCAATTTGCATAACACCTTTGCTATGCAAAAGTACCTAATAAATAAATGTATACGTATGTACATATATAAAAATTATTATGTATATGTAATTACATATTATGCTGTTGTTTGAATAGTTAAATGTTAATAAATAATTTCTATGCGCATTAGGCCGGGTCAGTACAAAAATGAAAAGGATTATACTAGCCAAGCCTAGTTGGAAAGCTTACATCGATAATTGTAACCTTCCTCCATACATTTTTTATTTTTTTTTATGCAGCTTTAAAGCGTGATAGATCGTATTTTGTAATAAAATTTTAAATTTTATAGGAACCAAAAATTTAATTTTTTAGAGATAAATTTGTTGATCTAAAAAGCATACAAAGTACTCAAATATATATTTTTCCACCTGTACATATATGTATATATTTACACGTCACACTTTAACATTGGATTGCGAAAGTTCGAGTTAGTCTTTTAGGACGTTACTTTAGATACATATGTATTTTTTTAAAACTTTAAAATAACTCAAAATAAACTTTAATGCATTGTAGATGAAAATTGCAAAAAAAAATGTTTTCGACCTAGCCTAATGCACATCATATCGCATCATTCGGAACTAGAACAGCTAAATGTCCTTCGGACATTAACGCACTTGCCGGCATGGCAACACGTTTAACTCAAGGTCATTACTCTTCGAAACTGACCGATTACCCCTTACCGCAAGTGTGATATACCAATGTCATGCTTCATTGAACACCTCAAACCCCTTCAAATGTAAACTGATTGCTTACCTCATACATCCAACGCCCACCATAAACGCAAACATTGGCTTTTATGGTATTAAAACTACCCTGTGAACGCAGCGATAGCCTATCGGCCGATATTCGCACTGTCGATGTAAAATCAATATCACAAATGGTGTGCTCTGGACCAAGCCTAGAGGCCATATCGATGCGTTGCGTCTTAGTCGCTTCTGTACTATTTGATTCGATGACATTGAGCCGTTCGTTTAACCAATTCCGCACAATGACCATTTGGCTGTTAGTGAAATAACAATTATCAGTCCCACACAAGTATG